CCCATCCAGCAGTATGCATCAACCAACATCCACTTCACTCGGCCTATCTCACAAACAAACACAACAGCCTACACACGAACAAACAAACAACGTAGAAACAAACATCTAGCCCGCTAAATAACCAATTTATCTCACAACAGATCAATCAAATAACCGACCAACCAACTAACTGACTAACTAGCAATGATAACTAATTGAAATTCGCGCAAACATAGCAAAATTGCCTCATTCAAATGCAAAATGCTCACAGAGACACACTCATTCGTACACAATACACCTAATCTCAACACAGGGCCACACAACACGCAACAACCCAAGAGTACACAAAACAACACAACAAACCTCAAAACGCTCTTTCGCATACATATACACAAGGCGATACGAGACAACACAACTCAACACAACACAAAACAAAACATTTCCCCGAAAATCACCAGTCAACATCACTGATCATTCAGAGTTGATAATTTCGCTAAGCCCTTCCATCAATTGTGCATCATTCACATCAAGATATTCTCCTCCACCTCTCTGTATCTCTCTCACTACACCCACTCCCTCTCCCTCTTTCTCCGCAGAAACTCAACCAGTGTCAAATCAGTCAGAAAGCACTGCGTCAGCTGGCACTGATCAACAGTTGACTACCACGCCTCAACTCAAGTCAGAAACACCAGGTGAGTGAGTTCACTATTCACCCAACACTCGCCCTCTCCACTCATATCAATCCACCAACTCAGCCTTCATAATCCATCCAGCAGTATGCATCAACCAACATCCACTTCACTCGGCCTATCTCACAAACAAACACAACAGCCTACACACGAACAAACAAACAACGTAGAAACAAACATCTAGCCCGCTAAATAACCAATTTATCTCACAACAGATCAATCAAATAACCGACCAACCAACTAACTGACTAACTAGCAATGATAACTAATTGAAATTCGCGCAAACATAGCAAAATTGCCTCATTCAAATGCAAAATGCTCACAGAGACACACTCATTCGTACACAATACACCTAATCTCAACACAGGGCCACACAACACGCAACAACCCAAGAGTACACAAAACAACACAACAAACCTCAAAACGCTCTTTCGCATACATATACACAAGGCGATACGAGACAACACAACTCAACACAACACAAAACAAAACATTTCCCCGAAAATCACCAGTCAACATCACTGATCATTCAGAGTTGATAATTTCGCTAAGCCCTTCCATCAATTGTGCATCATTCACATCAAGATATTCTCCTCCACCTCTCTGTATCTCTCTCACTACACCCACTCCCTCTCCCTCTTTCTCCGCAGAAACTCAACCAGTGTCAAATCAGTCAGAAAGCACTGCGTCAGCTGGCACTGATCAACAGTTGACTACCACGCCTCAACTCAAGTCAGAAACACCAGGTGAGTGAGTTCACTATTCACCCAACACTCGCCCTCTCCACTCATATCAATCCACCAACTCAGCCTTCATAATCCATCCAGCAGTATGCATCAACCAACATCCACTTCACTCGGCCTATCTCACAAACAAACACAACAGCCTACACACGAACAAACAAACAACGTAGAAACAAACATCTAGCCCGCTAAATAACCAATTTATCTCACAACAGATCAATCAAATAACCGACCAACCAACTAACTGACTAACTAGCAATGATAACTAATTGAAATTCGCGCAAACATAGCAAAATTGCCTCATTCAAATGCAAAATGCTCACAGAGACACACTCATTCGTACACAATACACCTAATCTCAACACAGGGCCACACAACACGCAACAACCCAAGAGTACACAAAACAACACAACAAACCTCAAAACGCTCTTTCGCATACATATACACAAGGCGATACGAGACAACACAACTCAACACAACACAAAACAAAACATTTCCCCGAAAATCACCAGTCAACATCACTGATCATTCAGAGTTGATAATTTCGCTAAGCCCTTCCATCAATTGTGCATCATTCACATCAAGATATTCTCCTCCACCTCTCTGTATCTCTCTCACTACACCCACTCCCTCTCCCTCTTTCTCCGCAGAAACTCAACCAGTGTCAAATCAGTCAGAAAGCACTGCGTCAGCTGGCACTGATCAACAGTTGACTACCACGCCTCAACTCAAGTCAGAAACACCAGGTGAGTGAGTTCACTATTCACCCAACACTCGCCCTCTCCACTCATATCAATCCACCAACTCAGCCTTCATAATCCATCCAGCAGTATGCATCAACCAACATCCACTTCACTCGGCCTATCTCACAAACAAACACAACAGCCTACACACGAACAAACAAACAACGTAGAAACAAACATCTAGCCCGCTAAATAACCAATTTATCTCACAACAGATCAATCAAATAACCGACCAACCAACTAACTGACTAACTAGCAATGATAACTAATTGAAATTCGCGCAAACATAGCAAAATTGCCTCATTCAAATGCAAAATGCTCACAGAGACACACTCATTCGTACACAATACACCTAATCTCAACACAGGGCCACACAACACGCAACAACCCAAGAGTACACAAAACAACACAACAAACCTCAAAACGCTCTTTCGCATACATATACACAAGGCGATACGAGACAACACAACTCAACACAACACAAAACAAAACATTTCCCCGAAAATCACCAGTCAACATCACTGATCATTCAGAGTTGATAATTTCGCTAAGCCCTTCCATCAATTGTGCATCATTCACATCAAGATATTCTCCTCCACCTCTCTGTATCTCTCTCACTACACCCACTCCCTCTCCCTCTTTCTCCGCAGAAACTCAACCAGTGTCAAATCAGTCAGAAAGCACTGCGTCAGCTGGCACTGATCAACAGTTGACTACCACGCCTCAACTCAAGTCAGAAACACCAGGTGAGTGAGTTCACTATTCACCCAACACTCGCCCTCTCCACTCATATCAATCCACCAACTCAGCCTTCATAATCCATCCAGCAGTATGCATCAACCAACATCCACTTCACTCGGCCTATCACACGAACAAACAAACAACGTAGAAACAAACATCTAGCCCGCTAAATACACAATTTATCTAACAGCAAATCAATTTAATGACCAACCTACTAACGAACGAACTGACTGGCTAGCTAGCAATAATACTCAATTGAAATTCATTCATTGCACGATTTCTTCGTCACTGTCAACGAAATATTCCTCGCTACCTCTCTTTGTTGCTTTTTTGTGTTTTACTATTTCCATATATTCTGCCTTTCTCTCCACATATATGGGACTTGTCAAATACAATTCGGAAGTCACACAGCGGTTCGGCAGTGATGAACATCTGACTAGCGTGGCTCGATTCGATTCAGAAATACCAGGTGAGTGAGTTCAGTAAGCAAGTAACACTCGCACTCGCCTCTTCTTTCAATGCACCATCCCAGACTTCATAATCTGTCAAGCAGCATGCATGATTACTCATCCACTTGTCGCGGCTTTCAACAGAAATTAATTCAGAATCCCACAGACCAACAGCACACAACAAATATCTAATTAACCAAATGACCAACTAACTAGCGATGACAGCCAACTCAAATTTAGGCATACACAGCAAAATTGCTGAATTCAAATGAAAAATCCTGGTGGAGACACACTGAAGCCGGCGCAATTCACCACTTTGCTTCCACTTTTTCGACAATTTTCTTTTCTTTAACGACCTCTCTTGATTTAAATTACTGCGTTATTCTAATTATTTTCAAATGAGATAATTTTCCATAAATCCACAGTAAGTGGATCTTTTCTGGATTTGTATGTTGTTATTTATCATCATTAGACTCGTGTACCTCTTTGTATGATGTGAAATTTCATATCTTATTGAGAATGTGTGATTCGATTCACTATTTAAAAAGCAGTTTCATCTTTTTTGTGGTTAATTCGTCAAAGCAGAATTCAGTTTTTTCTGACGGTGTTTGTAATTATTGTACGCATGGAGACGCGTCAGATGACAAAACTGATTGTTGTTTTCTGTTGTTTCAAGGAAATATCATTGCTTTGAATAATACTTCACTCAATGGCGTTACAGCTGTTGCATAGAATATGCATACAGTTAAAGTTATCTTCTCTTCCATGCAGTAGGCGTTTTACTGACAGACTACAATTAAAAGCTGTTGAAGACGGTTTTGTGGAATATCTCATTTTTGCTTTACAAAAAGTATTTATGGTCCCTACTGGTGCAGAGGAATGTTGGCTTCATTTCCGCTTATCAGATATCCAATCTGCTGTCCATTTCCCAGCGTGATATATTCTATCTGTTGTTTAGTTTTCGTTCACAGTGACCTGTCACAACATTTTGTGGTGTACGCCTTAACTTTTACTTGCGACTGCAATAGACCTCAGCTTACAACATCAACTGGTGGTAGATTTTCTGTATTTATGTGAATAATCGTTGTAAAGACTCTCTGATGTATTCAACTGGATTTCCATTGTAAATATGAAGCTTCGATTTCTGCTGAACTATAACAAACATTGTTACCATGAATGAAGTCACTTCAGGATTACCGCCCAGTCTCGCAATAAATTTCACTGGTGGTGCGGGCTCTCAAATAATTTCACTTGCCCAGCGTCACACTGCTTTTAAATATTCCACATGATCTGGGTCAATTTTATTTAGAATTGTAATTTGTCAGTTATCATCATAAGATAGGTTTATGTCGTTTTATGGTGTGCACACTTATTTCTCATTAGGAATGGGCAATTTGATTTGCAATTTAAGGTTTAGTAATCACTTAGTGGCTGCGAATTCTTCGAAGTGGAATTCGGTGTTGTCCGATGATTCATGTAATTATTGTACGCTTGGAGACTCATGAGCTGACGAGATTGAATGTGGGTTTCCTCTGGTTAAAGTGAATTTCAGCCCTTTTATTAGCGCTTCACGCAATGAAGTTACATCTGAAGCATAGATTGTCTCCTTTAGTTATATTTTCCTTCGTTACCACGAAAGGCATACTGATAGTTACAAGGTCAACAAAAATTATGCGTGAGAGCTTTGTGCGAATCCAGGATATAGTTGATTGGTCAGGACAGTAAGAATTACAGACAGTTAGATGTATTGCGAAACACCATATTTGATGATCAAAATTCACGCTGATCCTTGTGCGATTTGCTTTTTATACCAACTTGTTTACTCAGTCAGCTCAGCTTTCAGATGTTTCTGATTGGTGTGCTTTTTCTTAACAGCAACCATTGAATCTCATTTGATCCATTGTCTTCCATTTTATTTTTAGTTGATGCTAACAAGTTTATTGCTCACTGTAAGAGTTTTCCAAAGTTTATTTCAGAGATCTTCTCTCTTATACAGTAGGCGTTTTATTGACAGACTACTAATAGCTATTAAAGACGGTTTTTTTGGAATATCTCCTTATGCTTTAAAAATGTATGTTTGATCCTAAAAAGTATAGTGGAACGTAAGCTTCATTTCTGCCTATGAGATTTTCAATCTGCTGCACACTTTCCATCATGATTTTATTCTATCTGTTGTTGAGTCTCCGATCCTAGCGACATGTTACAACATTTCGGGACGCATGCCCACCCCTCTATTATCGGCAGTTATAAACCACAATCTTCAAAAGCCATTGGTGGTAGATTTTCTGCAATTTTGTGAATATTCATTGTAAAGTCCTCATGATGTATTCAGCTGATTGTCCATAGTAAATATGGAGCTTTAGTTTCCATCGAACTATAACATACATTGTGACCATCGCTGCATGCTAAAAGCCATTCATTCATGGATCGAATTTCACCGAAACTCAGAACAGCATCATTGTATTGTTGAAGTAGCAATATCGTCATGATTATTATCGGAGGAGCAAAAGCAGTTTTACTTCGTAGCCGTTGAATGCATTTTGAGATGAGTGTAACTTCTGATTAGTGAGATTTTTGTTGTTAGTTTGTGAACTTCAGAAATAGTTGAATACGCGAGCAATCTGAGTTCTTACATCACGTCTTCAGCAAGAAGCAATTATTCCGCATTCTAATTCATCAAACGAGAGTTAAATTTTGCGTGAATGTTTTACTTGGTAAATTATAAAGAGTTAATTAAATAGCTCGAGGAAAGTATTTTTCTCTATTTCAGATGATCCGAATTCAACATTAGACGCATACGTAGATTCATACTTTGAAGTTGTGAATGATAAATGTATGTGCCTATATTACCGAAAATTATTTCGTGGTTGTCTGTTTACTTTAGACTGTTCTGTAATGATCGGTGTTCAGTTCCTCCTATTACTCATGTCGCTTGACCTGAATCGTATACGGCTAATCGACTAACTCAATCACTGATAATACTGAGAAGCTTTTTAAAAATCTTCATTGCAACTGCACTTCTTCGTCAAAATTCAGGGAGACATATTTCTGATGTCAGCAGATGTATGTAATGTCACCTAATTGTAATAACTTGCAAATCATTATCGTGGAGTAGAGCAGGAAATCGGTGCTTCACAGAGTGAGTGATAGTGCTTTATCCACTTCAGGAAACTTGATAATCTCCAGGAGAATACTTTGCATCCATGTGAATATTACAGACCGAGATGAGTTGAATAGCAATTGGACAGTAGTGTCGATGAGACTGAAATGCTTAATCACTTGGCACTGGTTACCAGTGGATTGTGAGAGAAATGTTTACATTTATCTAATGGTGTGTCGACAATGCAAAGATGGTAGTGACATTTCATGAATGAATGTTTACACAAAGACAGAAAATCTGATTTTATGTTGCTTAGACATCAACAATTATTCTTTCAGGATATTTAGTCAACGGACGAATAATCCACATACTTTACACTTATTTACACCCATTTGTTTGTTTTAGTTTTCATGATTGAGCTTCATACATACCGGGATCCCAAGAATGCGGAAAAAACAATAAAAACTGGTGAGCAATTTCATTAAGATCTTTACTTAGCTGCATATAAATGTCAGTCAGAAATAGATGGTCAGGTCTTTTTTCAATCAATAGATTATTTTGCATTTCACGCATGTTGCAGATATTACTTGCTTATGAATCAAAGGTGAACTCATGTACTTTTTGAGAATGACCAAGTAACTTGTTTGTTTTTCACCATGTGATGAAAATAGAATGTACCTCCTGGTATGTGCATTGTACTAGAACAACAGTGACTGATCCTGATGCTTGAAATAACGTCTGTCGAGTGTGTGGCATGAAATCTTTTGCAGAGACCTTACCTTCCTACAGTCACTGCTGCGCGAAATCTCATTTCTGCTTGGTGATTTGAATTACATCTCTGAAATGCATGAACTCACTTGTGGGTGTAGTGGAAGATTCTCTGTGTGAATTGAATACTGATGGGAGCGACTAAGACTGGAAAAGAAGTCTGAGGTTGGTGTTGTCTGCTGCTGTCTTAGATTCTCTCAATCTGTCTTTCAGATTGTCATTATCGTTACTCTCCTGAGTACGGAGTGGAAAATAGGACACCAGCTGCACATCTCCATACCATCGCCCTCTCTGAAGTCCTTTGTGACTGGCTTCACAACTGTCTTATAACCTCTATTTTCGGCTCACATAATTTCTATCATGTCGCCAACATAACAACCCTAACCCATCACACCTTCTCGTTCCACTCAACGAACTGGCGTTTGATATTAGTCTGCGGTTTCCTCAACGCATGTACCATCTACCTTCATTGCAATTGTCATATTTGTTGATCTGAAGGTTCATGATTGGTTTGTCGCCAAATGTCCATGTTGCTAATGTTTTGGCTTCCTTGTCTTCAGTACTGGTGCATCGAAGTCATGCATTGACGAAGGTTTGCAGCTGCCTGTTGTAAATGCTTTGTCAACACGATAAGCCTCTGAATCACGTAGTAGCATAGGCTTGACGTCAGCGTCACAGATCCAGATCTCATTCCTTATGCTGAGTGGAATAATCTGATCTACTGATTTGTAAGCTGTCAAATTCTGTCTTGCCTTTCTGATCTAAACTAGCTGCAACCTCCTCAGCCTTGCCGTCACGTGTAACTGAAACGATGCTGCCTGGATAAGTAAAGGAAATGACTCCCTTCACATTTCTGCTGTTGCTGCTGACTGGTCTGTATGTTGAGCTCATCACCTCTATTTCCCCTATGCTCATCTGAAGGCGTGTCTTCGCTGGGTGCTTCTTCTCTCAACGTTTTCGTCTTCACCTGCAGATCTTCGAGTTTGTGTGATATTAGACATAAACCCCCGGCTAAGTTCAAACCTTTTTGACTCTGCTTGTTACACCAACGTTTGACCATCCCCCTGCTGCTCATGGTCTCTTACATGGTGCAGTCGACCATAACCAGAAGTATCATTGGCGATCAGCCTCACTGAGCTTTCTGTTGTGAATCTAATTGCACTTGCCTTACTCACGTAGTTGTCCGAAGCTCCATATTTCAAATGCTGTGTAAAATCTTTTCAAAGTCGATGAGTTTTAAGTGGATATTTGGTTAAAATCCTGTGCTCTCTTCCTTAATGAAGCGAGGCTCTGAGATTTAGCTAGTAGATGAGTTGCTGGGGGAGTTTTGCGTTCATAGTATCATTCGGTCTCCCCACGATAATATAAGCTATTATTCGGCAGGAGCACAGCTTTAGTTGCTCTTCTTTGCAAGTTTGACAAGGCCACCTATCTTTCTGATCAGCATGTAACCTTATGCACCATTGGCGTGAGTTTATCTGATGAAGTGCTTCCATAGGTATTCCATCTGATTCTGTCACCTATCCAGATTCTAGTAACATTGTGGTATTCGAAACGTCTGTCTTAGTTGGAGGATTGCTATTCACAGAGAGTACTGTTCCTGCTGTTGATGGTATTTCTAGGAGATTTGCAGTTGGTGGTATCTTTGAGAGTTCGAATCGTTTCTTCTCTTTTCTAGCTAACATCCCTTCACCATGGTTCCATTTGTGTTGTTTTTTTCTAGGATACTGATGTGGTACACTGATGAAGTAATCTTAGGTCTCCCTTTCCTGAAACATATTCTGTTTCACTCGTCAAGATGTCGCGTCTGATTTTCTTCTCGATTTTATGTCCTAAGATGCGGATGAGGATTATCTGATATTTGGGGTGTCCAGCCTGTGAAATATGTGTCATTTTGTGCATGCGTTTCGCATTGCTACCTGCAGTCAACAACTGCCTGAAGATATCGAATTACGCGAAAGGTTCACCGTCCACATGTTTTCACCCACAACCTCTAGACATATGAAAAGTCGCTGTCCTTTCTTGTTTGTTTCCATTTTCTCATTCTGATGTTTCTATTTGGGGTCATGAACTTTACTACTTGCAGTGGTTTGCAGAATTTTTTCCTCTCCTTTTGGTCAACGTCAATTGATGAAGGATAGCGCTGGAAACCGTATTGTTGTGGATGTTGTGTGTCAGTGAGTGGATGGTCCCATTTCAAATTGAACGTCTAAACGAGCTAAAGGTATGGATTGTCTTTGTTGCAGGAAAGTGAGACACCAAAATTATTACCACCATCTGCAAAGGGAAATCATTTTACTCAGGGAATATTAAGAGGTGATTCATAATGGAGCATGAATACGAAAATGCAGTCGAAGTAAACTCAAAGGTGAAAATAAACACAATCCCATGTTTGATGTTGAACACTGAAATTAAAAATGAATCACTACAAAATGAAAAATCGAAATATTAGATGCATGAGTAGAACGACATTTGAGCTTATGAATCGTAAGGTGGATATAAATTGGTTTACAGAGCTTCTGGTTCTTTCAGTCAAAACTCATATAATCGAATGCTTACTTCTTCAGTAAATCTAACAGTAGCGAGCCTTTTGATGCATGGCGTACTCCCTGAAAATTGCAAATGGGAAATAAGTAATATACACCAGTCAAAATTCTCTCAACAAATAACCTGTTTCATACAACATTACATCATGCACTAATTTCGTGTCTTTTCCACATCAAACAGAAATCCTGAGACTTGAACGCTTATATCAAAGAAAATGGGAGAAGGAATTTCTCGAAAGTAAGTTCTGTCATCCAAACTCTTGATTCAATGATGTTCCTGAATCCGAATGCATGATGAATATAAACGTGAATTTTTACTAAAGTTAGACATGTTTGATTACGAATTGAAATGAATTGCAGTGCCATTGGAGATGACCAAGGAATTCAAATACTCCACAAATAAACATCAAAACTAGTATTTCGGAGAGTGACCTCTAGGTGTTACTAGGACAGAAAATTCTGTCAGCAAACAGACAGGAAAATTTTAAGGAGAATGAAGAATGAATTTCATATGCATATTTCGAAAAGTACTCCAGTACACATCTTTCCAATACGCATAGCATAAAATGCTGAATTTCAACATGAAATGTAACCATATTTGGTCCATTGATTCACCTTTCAATAGTCTTTTCAATGAAAAAAATAATATAGTCTGACGTATGAGTTATGTAACTCCTCAAACAAGTTGCCTTGCTGTACTTTTCACATCTGACAAACCCTCAGTATGCATTCCACATTTTCTTACTGTCCTCTTCTTACCATCCTTCCGAGTACAAATAAATAATTTTCCAAAATTATTTACACTTTTACAGCAATCAGTGCAGAAGACAAGTCGCTCGTGAATCTTGCTAACTGTAGGTTATTTCATCATGAATTATTAAACAGAGTATATGTGACAAAATGTTTTTGGTATCTGAAGACAAAACCGTCTTCTTACTGTTTGTGGAATGAACGTCAGCTTGAAATCATTTTGTGCGACATATGATATCGGAGATTTATATTCATATTTATTTTTAATTGCTAAGGCTAAGAAATGAAGCCGTTATCGCTCACCTATACGAATGCAATCTAGTCTGTTTAATGAAGCATTTTAAAATGTTTCGTCAATTCAATCACTAGTAACGACGTATTCCGTAGTGATACAACTTCCTCCATCATTCACATTCTCTACAATGTCCTCTTCAAAATAACAGTCTTCAATACATACATGCTACAATAAAACAGCATGCATCATTAATAACATTCTGAATGTAGTCTATAGTTCATTCATATCTCAAGTCCATTGACATAACTTGGAAACTTTGATTGTGTATTTCTACTTTATTTTCATCAAATGTCGGTTGAATAAATAAATCCACAGTTATACAGTTACACTATGAAATTACTACTGTTATTCGTTCTTTGCCTTCCTGTATGAACCACTGAAATGCTCATTCCCGACGATATTTTGAATGGTTTAAACCTGAACCATACCGTTGGAATACAATTGGTTGTAATAGACAGCCCTGTAATAACCTGAACTGATTCAATGAACTTGATGTTGAGAGGTATTTCGCATGCGACAAATTCATATGCCTGGTGAATGAAATGCATCAGGTTATGTGTCACGTAGCAGTGTAGGTAACGCGAACGATTTGCATTATTGTAAACGCTGTCAAAAGTCTTCACAAATTCGTTGAGGATGAGTTAAACATTTCACTGCAATTCTAGTCTGTTTGATGATGAATCACATTCAGGCAATCAGATCCATGTATGATTTTTCTTTCTTTAACTCAAACCGATCCCATGGACAACATTCATCTATGATATCTGTTGAGAGAGATGCACCTTACTATTCTACTTGGAGATGACATTCGGATGATAACGAAGATTTAGTACTGCTCGAAATGTCATCCGTTTATAAATTAACCTAATTCACGCTTTCATACTATCTCAGTGTACAAATACCGACTGTAGATTTTTGGCTATTTGAGGAATTAAATATGCACCAAACAACGCTTCTTTTCTATCTAGATGAATACAGGAAGGCATTGGAAGATGATGATGCTTTTCAGCACAACGTTTTTGGTATGACTAATTTTTTTAACTAGAATTTGTAAAATTACTTGATTAAAAATTCATTTGTTAGTTGGAATCAATTGACCATTTCTGTGAAAAATGTACACAACATTTTGAACTGGTGTTTTGCGTCAAGTCATCTTTTCAGTTTGGAATCACACTTGCTTTTCAACCATAACAATCGCACTTTTGTGAGGATAAATCTGATCGCCATTAGGACGTTTCTTACCAAAAGTCGGCTCTCCTATTTCTTTTTTAATATTGGTTTGTTACTAAGATCCACTGTTACGACAAATTACATTCCAGTGATATTCAGAAGATCTACAGGTTATTTGTCTATTGATGGATGATATTATCGTATCAACTGATGATGACTTTCACAGTCTGCATATGTGAAGTAATCTTGTGCCCTACTCTTACTCAGAAACCTGACCACATTCACAATGTGTTCTGCATGGCTTAGGTGAATTCAATGGTCAGTACTTGGAACTATGATGAAATCTGATGGATGCATAAACTGAGTCATACTCAAACATCCAGATATATTACCACTGTCACTATGTTCGAGGATCATTACGCAGCTCAAATAATCATCTGTCCACATCTGACAAAGCTTATGAGTAATAAGTATGCCATGTGAATTTATATTTATTCCTTCAGCTAATTATGGACGATACCATCAGTTGAAAATGCATATTTCAAAGAAATGGGAAAATCGAAAAAATCTCAATATTGCAGAAGGTAATAATTTTATGATTCCACTATTTAGAAAGGCAGTAGGTTATTTTAATTATATAATAAAGAAAATATTCTTCTTCTGTAATTAGTTGGAGTGCGTGAGGCCACAAAATACTTCTCACTTTTACAGAAGACCAACCACAACACATCGGAATTGCGATATTTCGTCTTAAACATCACACTCACGAGTGTGAATTCTGACTAATCGAGAGAGAAATCGTGATAAATCGCTTACTGATAGTTTAAAATTCAATCTCGCATGAATTGACGGCGTTGCATGAGAAAACATCATTCTGTAGGAGTGTTCTGCACTTTCTATTGATTGGTCTCACTGATTTATATTCACGATCGTGTGTATTTTAAGGCTTCTTGAATGTTCGCAATTTTCTCATCAGCTCTGTTATTCACACTTGATAGAGAATGATGAGAATACCTTGTGGTGACGCGCTACGTAAATAACAGAGAGTAGTTCATGCAATAAGCGACAGTAGGCAAACACCATCCATGTATTCACTTAGTCATATTTTGTCATTAGAATCAGTTGAAAACCGACTACTTTCCATCGGTATGTGAGTGAGAATACACTCACTCGATGGTTTGATAGCATTTTCTAACAAAGCTTTATACTTGGTAAATAAGTTAATTGTGGTGTCATTTGAATTGAAGTCAGCTGAATCCATCTTCAAATAAATTGATTATGATAATGTTGGATTCATCGTATACCTGGAAGTTGAGTGACATTGTTATGTATCAATTGCAGCCAAATTTTTTGCGGATACATCAAGCATTTTGAAGAAAGACGAAGGTTAGTTTTCTTTCACTTTGAAATTCATCTTCGTAACTTATAAACTGTGCTGAAATATCTGTCGTCATTTTGTGATTAGTAGTTACTCTGATCTAATTATTATACATATTCACAACTCCACTGTTATGTGGTGATACTTATTCGTAATGAACCTTGTCTGAACATCTTTAATGACAACCAGATGCAGCAGCTAGTTGATTGTTCGACTCAATTCTGGAGTTGTTTGAATATGTAGGAGAGGTGTATCTACGCACTCAAACTCTCTGTCTGCTCAAATTCATTTTGCATCAGCATATTCAGTTCTGACACATAAAACACCTCCTTCACAATATCGAACTCTACATAGGTGGAGTTCTATCGGAACTTTTTTCACAGAAAGATCATCTTGATGAGTAATACGTATTAAAATAATGACAATGAACACTGTAGTTCACATTTTATCACGAAAAAGTACAAAGTGTATTGGGTGGTTTTACTATTATCTAGTATGAAACATGTATGTGTGTAAACATCTATGCCTTACATACTATGGTTTACCCAGAAATAATGGACGGAATTATATTCACTCAGTGAAGTATCAGTACGACTGTAGTAAACAAGAGACCTGGTAAAGGGATATTTATTTGAAAGTTGATGTTGCTGAATAGCCAAATTGCGTACAACTTATCTTCAAATCACCATTTGCAAAGATCTTCCTCTTTGTGCTACTTCTCTCCTTTATATTGTGTTTCTTTGTATGTCTTCCATGTCTCCCATGTTGCGCCGGAACACTGAATCATTCGCTTTCCTTGATGTCAAATCCATCCCCCTGCTATTCGATGTTTTTCTCTGATAAACGTCTCTTCATATTCTACTTATAAATCTTATCAGTAGCAAACGCCCCGTCAGTCCTTAACATGCAGACACTCCTCAAAATGTAGCATGTCCTTATAATTACAAAGTGTAACTTTTGAAACTATTAACACGATTATCCATTCAATGATTTCACAAAAGTTTAATATTCTATGCAAACGATTATTGTCCCGTAATGAACAAAGTCTAGCCAACATTGAAGATGGGCATGAACGCAGTATAAGTGCAGCTTACACATAGAGAAGCCATTTGCTTTGCTGATGTCAGTAAGTACTCAAAATATCATGTGGTAAGATGGACATTATCAACAGGAAAACCAATCAATTGTGACAGTCAGTAACCATTGAGTAAATATGATCACTTCACGTTGATGAATAGACAGTGAAATATTTCATACCTTTCGATACTGTGAAATTATAGCTAAGAGTGGAATAACAAAGAAGATTTTCGAAGAAGAGAAGGAAGCAGTGAATACAACCAAAGGTAAAATTATAAAATGTAATTATGAAAATTCACTCGCCATTTTTTTATAGTTATTCGTTGTGTCCCATTTACTCATCAGTAACACACATAATAACTAAAGTCTATTAGATATCCACTTAACTAGCAGTACAATAACTTCTCAGAAATATAAGGAAGGTAAGTTCCATCACAGATGAGTCACTACTCCTTTCGTGAGGAGTGGAGTAAACGTTTCAAAACTAATATATTCACTGTGTTGTGATAAGGAACGTGTTGAGAAGTAATCAAATTATTATGACACGTTTCTTAGTCGTCAATCTATTGTATTCATCATGATGACGTTGAATTTTCTTGATTAACGCTTTACATATTATTCGCACTTCTTGTTTTCTTGTATTTATTATTATTGGTTTCTTTCGTTCTAAGAAGAACATAGGGATTCAGCCGCACATCTTCATTGCGTTCGGTTATCCGTCAGCGTTTTCACCTGGCTCCACATCTGCCCACATGCTTCTATCTCCTTTTTTCATGACCTCCTTGATGTCACCTTCGCACTGACGACTAACTAGCCGCTTTTTATTCGCGTTCCACTTGAGGGCGTGTCTTGAGATATCACTTGATGTTTTTCTCGAAGTATGGCCAATCCACGTCCATTTCTTCGTGCTTGTTTGTTGCACAATTGGTTTCTGATTGGTTCTTTTACAGAGGTCTCTCTTTGCTGCTGATCCTTTCTGGCCATTTGATCTCGAGTATGGAGCGAAGACAACTGTTGATGAAGGTCTGTAGTTTGTTTGAGATGCTCTTCATGACGCGTTGGCCAAGTCACTGATCCATATAGTATCACCGACTTCACATTGGAGTTGAAAATCCGGATCTTATTTTCATTTTTATTGCTGACTGCTGTTGACCTCGACACAGACATGAGAGTAGTGAAAGCTTGTCTTGCTTTTCCCATTCTTGCTTTGATATCCTCGTCAGTTCCTCCTGTAGTTTAAACGATGCTTCCTGTATAGGCAAAAGGGGTTGCTTCTTTCAGATTTTTCCCATTTATGATGATTGTTGTCTATTGTTGTTTCCGAAGTTGTTGGCCAGAAATCTTCATGACATACGTCTTTTTTCTCTATGTTCATCTAAAGTAACTCGTATTTTTGATGCTTCTTCTGCAAATTTATTGCTTTTCACTTGCATATCTTCCGGTTTGTGAGAAATCAGACGTATATCATCGGAGAAGTTCACATCCCCCACGTTTTTCGTGTGGGTACATTTTATGCCTGTTTCTTCGCTGCCTGCCACTGTCTGTTGCGTAATCCAGGTCACCGCAATCAGAGAAATCATTGGAAACCGTAGGCAGCCAGCTTGTCTTACTCATATTTTCACTATGATGGATTCCGTGAGGTTTCCCGTTGTGAATAAATTGGCACGCAGCACTGTCATACAACCGTTGGATGAGATGTATATTTTTTGGCGGCACCCTGTAGTAGTGAAGCACCTGCAAATCACTTCTCAATTGACGCTGTCGAAGGCCTTTTCAAAGTCACTGAAGTTGAATTCAAGAGCCGACTGCCATTCCGAGCTCTGTTTAATGATGATCGTAGTGTTGCAATTTGTTCGATGCATGAGTTGTTCATCCAAGTCCAGCCTGTTCCGGTTGACGTTTTCGATCCAGGGCGTGTTTGATTCTCTCCTGGATGATGTGGCTTAGTATTTTGTTCAGGATGGACAGGTACATTGACTTTAGTCTCCTTTCTTTGACAGTTTGAATACGTAGCCTTCCTTCCACCTCGCAATTACCTCTCCCTCTTTCCAGTCCTTCCCCAGTACTGGTGTCGTCAAGTCCACTGATGACTCTGGGTCAATTTTCAATGCCTCTGCAAGGATACCGTCTGGTCTTACTGCTTTTCCAGTTTTTATCATCCTAATGGCCTTCAGGATTTCTGTTCTTGTCGGAGGGTTGAAGTCCACTGGTAGTGGTGCTGTTTCTGCTGTTGGTGTTATTGTGCGCGTTGTAGGGGGCAGTCAACTCAGAAGTCTTTTGAAGTGTTCAGCCCAGTGTTACCTTTCCTCCACCTCTTTGCTGATGGGCTTTCCATTGTTGTCTTTCACTGACCTAATTTGCGTTAAACGTTTCCCCGATAAGGACCAAGTTGTTTGATAGAATGTTGCCAGTTCACTTTTGCCTACAGGCTGTTCTACTTCACTTGCCATAGTTTCGTGATAACATCCTTTTTCTTTCCTGACTGTTTAATTTACTCTTTTTCTCAGTGCAGTGTAGCTTGCATTCAACTCCTGTTTTTGTCGCTCGTCAATACACTGGACAATCTTTTGTTTCAATATCCTTCTCTCCTCTGTTATTCTCCATGTGTCCGTAGTGAGCCATTGTTTGTCTTGTCTCTTCTTTCTGCCTAGAACGTTCATGCAGGTTTCACTTCACACCACTTTCACGTTGTCCCAGTGCTTTTCAACGCTGATCTCTTCGCTAGTGTTGATTTGTGTCTCGGCTTTTTCCTTACGTTTGCAGTGAGGGTGTTCATTGTATCCTGATCCTTCAGTTTTTAAGTATTGAACTTGGCTTGTTGTCTATCTGCAGCTTCTGTTTCCTTGAAAGTTTTTAATTTGATTTGTAATGTTCCTTAATTTAGATAGTGATATGAGCCAACGTCTGCTCCTCTTCTTACTTTTGTGTCCAATAAGCAGCGCCTCCAGTTTCTTGAGATTGAGATGACGTCAATTTGGTTTTCGGTTCGCCCATCTGCTGATACCTATGCAGCCTTGTGGATATCCTTGTGTTTGGATACGCTGTCGCCAATCACTAGTTCATCGAAGGTACAGGGCTCAGCGAAGAGTTCTCCATTTTCATTGCATTCTCCGAGAGCTTCTCTACCCAGGATGAGTTGTCTTCCTGTGTTGCCTGGTGCCAGTTTGACATTCATGTCTCCCATTAGTATTTTAATGTCACCTACTGCAGTACTGTCCAATGTTGCCTGCAGCTGTCTGTATAACTGTTCTTTATTTTCGAGTTCTGTGTTACTTGTGGGTGCACAGCATTGTATAATTGGTTCTTTCCTTCCTTTTTGAGTTAAGTCTGGTGGTCATTATCCTGGGTGAGATCGCCTCTCATTGTATGAGTGTCTTTGTTGCCGTTGATGACATCATGATAGCTAAACCCTCGGTGTGATCGTGGTTGTCTTTTGGATGGCCGAGGTAGATCACCGACTCTTCCGTTAACAATTTGATGAGTCCAATCCCATTCCATCTGATTACGCATATTATCAATTCTTGATTTCCGTATCTTTTCAGGTCGTTCACTAGCTGAGCAGCTTTGTCAGTCTCATACATGGTGCGGACGTTCCATGTCCCCACATAGAATTTTTCCTTTGTCACAAGGAGACATCGTGCTGAAGTTTCTGTAGCAACTGTGTTAACAGGGTGTGATTGCTGGCCTCATGCCTGAGAAGAGGTTGTTACGTGAATGTATAGTTTACAGAGGAGTGACTTGTGGGTTGCTCTCGTTCGAATCAAGAAAACAAAGAATTAAGCAATCAAGACATTATCAGCAAAAGGAAAAAAGTAACAACAGGATGAGCAGTGACAACAACAATACATAAAGCCATAGTAACAGTATCACTTGCATAAAAAACGGTTAACAACAGTGATATCAAAACCATAGACTCACTGACCTGGGTCAAAATGAATATATAAGTCTAAAAATGTATCATTGATATAAGAATAAAACTTGGGCACTGTGGTAGAGTATAATTCCATTATGGGTAACAATGTATACAGTTATGGATATTAGATAGTGTTAAACATTCACAATATGCTAAACAGATGCTTAAAGGTTTTATCAGTCAACAAGATTCTATCCACAGATTCAATGTTCGAAAGTCAAATAATTAAATAAATTCCACAACTTCATGGCAAGAAACGCCAGAGAAATTAAAGTTTTATATACCTGAGCAAATATGGTGCACTAATCGAAAAGCGTGTCATGGTTGTTTTTTCTCTTGTTTTCTTAGCTGACCTTCAAGAGCTGCGAAAGTCAGCGGTCATCGCATCTAATGCATACAGAAAGACTTCAAGTGAGTAAATATATTCATCAATTTGATTAGTGAACTTTAAAGCACAATGAAGCAGTGGACAGGCCTGTACGATTCACCATTTGATGAACAGGGTGGTGACTCAGCTGTACAAATGACGTGAAGCCAAGATCGACTTCAACCTTTCTTTACAATGGAAAGCAGAGAGAAGAGTAGATCAAGCGTCACTCTTCTCAAAATATGGGTATAATAATTAAAAAAGATGACATTGACTGCAGAAGTGGTATCGTTTGCACTGTGGCAGAATATAATTCGATATTAAATTAGTCCAGTGAATATAACACATATTGTCTCAGTATTCATAACTGGAAGACGTTTCTAGGACTTTTTATCTCTCATAATCAAATCATATTATTGTCTTATTATTTCTTAGCATATTTGCAGAGTATAAGGAAAGGAAATTACAAAAATGGTGAGTGACAGTTTTGACCTGCTTAAAATATTTTGAAGTTAAAAAGGTGTTCATCACTAAGCTCCATGCGATTCCTCTTTGATTGAAATTAATCACAGTTCTACATCAAAGAACTTCAGAACTTCACCCTCAGCAGACAATGAATTCATCACATTTTGATGATGGTGACTAGCTCGGTGCTACAAATGATGAAAAATCTCACTGTCAACAAGCAAACATCAAATTAATTATGAATAAATATCAAGAAATTATGACATGGTATTTTGAATTGACAGCGACTCGTTTTTGAGGATCTCAAGTTTGAAGATCATGTGAAGGTAAAGACAAGAGACCAACCAGACGATAAGTTAAAGTAGGAATATACTCACTAATTGGAAATTCAAAGTGCGCAAATTACTGACACATATCTCACCCCACAATGAATGTATTTGCATGAAATAATTCCTTTCAGTATTGTCAAGTATGTATGCGACTATGAATTTGATGACGAGTCATTATTCCTTTCAGAAACATCGAATGATGCTGAAATTACGCAGGCGTATTGGAAGGCTCGTTATGATTTTGACAACGGCACAAGTAATTTTACATAGTTATTTGATTTGACCGCATTTCATATTTAATAGTTATATTTATGGATGTACTTCAAGAGACAGAAGTAGTCTGTGTGGCTGATGACGTGTATATTATCAAGTTTTTTTAATCCCTAATTCCACATACGGCTATATCATTGAAAAAATTAGCAACATTACTTGTCACACTTATATTGGAATCTGCAAATTGTTGAACAGTTAGTGAGAATCACGGCTGAAATATGTATGCACAAAAGCGTCGAGTCTACTGCTCGTATGGTGTTATTTTCATATTATTGAAACACGCAAAACTATTCCGATAAAGCTTCAATGACTTCATCAATGAATCATAGAATAAAGCCAGAAATGTTTATCACATATTATGTGAAGTTCAAAATAACAGTTAACCTCGTCTAGATTACTAGCTCGCTAGTTTTCTAGCCGGTCCTAAGCCCAGATAATGAATGAGGGTTGAGGCGTGTTGCTAGCAACTTCACCCTCGCTGAGGAGGCTGCTGGGTGACATCGCGCGTCAGGCCCTCGAGTGTAACCCGAAAGATAACCAGCGAGTGGACGTTCAAGAGTGACATGGAGGAGATCGTGTGAAGAGGAGCTAAAACAATATGGATTAACATGGATGCAGGTGAAAAGTACAGCAGAAGACAGAAGCAAGTGGAGACGTGCAGTTGAAGCGTTATGTTCCACTAGGAACCCAAAGGAACAATTAAAATAATAATAAAATAACAGTTACATGGAGACTACATGGTATGATCGTGCATAATTGGCTTTATTTCATAATAATCCAACGGTGTAATGTAACATTGAAAAAGGTACTAATGCATTATTGAAAATCTATTCACTGTTTCAGGGATACTACTGAACAAAATAAAACAATTAGAAATGAGCCGGATTGAATTTTTAATGTGTAAGTTGAAATATTGAAATGATTTACAACTGACTAGTTCAAACTCCAGAATACAGAATAAACTGGCTCCTGGATGAAATGAAGGAAGATGCCAAGCAGTATTATTGAAGTAAGTTTTTACTTAGATCCTCAGCGTGTTTTAAATTACTAACTAACTGCACAAGTGAATATGAACTTGAAGATGGATTTCGAGGTTAGCTGAAATCAGCTAGATGAATTTTGAGGAACAAGTAACAATGAACTTCTCTTCACTCGCATTTCTTGATTACTCATCAGTGAACAGGCACATGATGGCCGAGCTACTGGGCGACCGGCCACATGATCACAGTCGGTGGCTGCACCCAATATCAGGGTTGTAACAACTTTTGAGAACATCGTAAATTATACTGGTGCTTCGCATAGCTGATTTCCTGTGAGGGGAATTGTAACTTGGAATCAACCAGATAATGTACACACTGAATATGTGTTTCAATATACACTGGAACTAATGCTTTATGACTAGTGTCATTGTTTGTTAGATGAAAATTGGGGAAAATACTTTCTGCTATACAAGATACGTGTCTAGTTTCAACTCACTGTTGCTCTATTTCTGGTTTCATTCTGTTTCAGCTGCAGGAAAGTGAATTCGATTCCAAGGGAATTCAAGCAATATTGGTGAAGGGAATAAATTGTTTACTTATCTCTTTTTGTTTTTTGATGACTTCGTCAAGAAGGAAATTTTCTTCTCTGCAACCGTCTTTTAAATAATTCTTTTTGTTTAATTAAATATAACATTTTTCTTCGTAAGATTTTGTTTCAATTGGCGTTTTCTGTCTTTATAGTACAGTGGGTTACATGCAAATGAGGTAGCTAATTAAAACAAATAGGCTCACTGACTGTGCATGACTTTAGTATTATTGTTACGACTGACGAAGTGTATTGTTTAGCTGAGAGGAAATGTCAGTTCGGCGAAGCGTAGATATTTGCCAAAGACTATAAAGCGCGTATACGCATCATAATACGACGTGAAGCATAGAGAAATTGTGCGATAGATAGAGAAAGAGATAGTGTGTGTGAGAGGAAGAGGGGGAAAAGATAAAGGGAGAGTTTTTATTGGAGTGTGAGAGTGAAGCATTGATAGGTATAAATATGTTGAGGGTGTGTGATTCAATCTGTTTTCCCCTTTAATCCTCGTGAGCTTTAAACGATAATACAGTGAACGTTTTCTCATCAAAGAGAGACTGTTGAGGACAGAATTAACCTAAGAGCTTATAAAGAGATTATCACGAGAGGAACAGCGCATGTTCATCATTGTTTGTGTAATTCATATGTGTGCGTGTCGTGTTTTCGTTACAAGGAGAGAGATACATTGAGATGGATAGACAGACATAGAGTCAGATAGAGAAAGTGCGTGCGCGTTTGTGAGTGACAGAGAGAGAGAATTGTGAAATTAAAACTCATTCTGAACGAAGAATATTCTTTTCAATAATTTCTCCTCTTCAGGTTCTTACAATCATAAAATATAATATTTGTTGCCATAACAATATTGGCCAGTTATGCGGCGTATACATTTTTTACGTAGAATAACAGATAATTTGTAGAGTGTCAAAATAAATAGTCGTATTTGTGTGACAAACGTGCTAGGCTGAATTCGATTACAAAATATTGTAAAACGGGAGACAATGGTGATGAATCATAATAGATTTGTAGAGTGTGGGGTAGGAAAATTGACAAGTCAGTTCAAGGTTATAAAAGGTGTCAGGTGAGTGGCTAGTACAAAGTGGTCTGTGTTAAACAGGAGATAGTAAGACTGCAATGGGAGGTTCATAATGAGATAACGAATATGTGCAATGAAACAGGTGGAGGCAAATATTGAGAAAAGAGATAATATCACTAATAATAAGTCCGGATAGTATAAACGGAAAAATTCGATAGTATTGAGAGAATGTTTGCATGAAGGGCATAAATTATGACGAATAATAATAATAATTGTAATAATAATATTTGTAATAATAAGCAAAGGAAAAAAACCCAAGAGGGTTAAGGAGAAGGAGCACTCTTGGTGAGAAGAAGAATCATCAATCCAAGTTTGGCCACGGTAGGAACAGCGTCTGGACGTGTTCTTTTTGGATACAAAGTTCCGGTTTATTCGATCTTATTGCAAAAGCTTCAGCTATGTGTAGAAGACGTAAGCGAACTGTACGTGAAAGTTTCTCGCACTGTTAAAAAGTATGCTTAGCCTCTAACGGAAAGTAGCGCAGCCTGATACGCTATCCCATCATCAACAACACACCCATCGTTTGCTACGCTCATTTTCCTATTAACAACTGGCTTTTGGTGCTTGTGGTTTGTAAGCACGATGAATCGCATTATCACTCCTACATGTGCCTCCTAGTGACATTTGTCCGGTTGAGTGATTATTGAATTCTCAGTACTGTGGCAGTTAGTCGAAGGCTTTCATAAATTTTGTGGCCATTATAATATTTGATTTCGGTCTCCTATTCATAAATATGAGTATATATTTGAATCGACAGCAGTTGACTTAAGTCTTTCACTGGCTCAATCGATGAAGGTATCAGGTCTTCAGTTAGCGTGAAGGTGGATTTCAAAGTGAACTCAATTGTCCATTTATGCTTAAATACTATGTGTTATTCTAAGTTACTTATCGTAATCCGTTCTGTAATAATTTTGCTTTCCGAGTTCGTTCAATTATTTTCTAAATAACTGATAATTGGGATTGTATTTTTTATCTGGCGTCTTACACTACTTATCATTAGTCAGTAGGTTGAGATATTGCATGATTTTCTTCAGCACTATCATTGGTATAATTAGTGATTGCGTTGCTAAACAAGAGGCCACTTTGAGGAAAGTAGAAGTGAACTTCTTGTTGAAAGAACAATATATCAGGAATATAAGTAACATTGAAACATGAATTTTCATCGTTAATCAATACGAAAGAAAACTTGGGCAGGGCAGAATATCCTTTACGATAATTTCCTCCTCCTCTGGCTGTACAATTTTATGTATGCATCTTTATATATAGAGACTATTATTCTAGAATAATCGTCGTTAACAATATTAGTGCCTTTTAAATACTATCGATTTGTTAATATCACAATGGAATTACAGACAGTTTGAGAAAGATGCATAAGTTATGATAATGAGCACAAAACTGTAATGGTTAATAGAATATGAAATAAAATGAAGGAAATCTCTATAACAACAAATTAAGGATCATTATAACATTGCCTGGTGGTCAAAGTAAGGAGACTGTCTGAACTGACTACTTTTGGATACATAAGTTAGAATTCCTAATGTATATTTCAATATGGAGAAGATGAACTCTTGAGATACGGTAGATCACTTTGAAGGCCTCCTCGTTAACATCACTCTTGTGTTCTGTATCCACAAGATGAGTGAGATAGTATATGGCTATGAATGGATTTTGTTTGTCCCTTACGTAACTACTGTGCAGTATGATGTTAGAAACTCCAACGATAAACACACCTAATTGTACAGCCTTTGCAACTAACTGGTTCACTCCACAGCAAGAGCAATCAAATTAATAGATACACATAGAAGAGGCGAAATAAGGCAGTGTGTCTTTAACTCCCGAACGCAAAATATGGGTGGGTGGTTTTCATGACACAGCATAATTCAGCACCACCGAATGCTTCTTGTACCGCCATATTACTGAGGCATTGTGTTGATATCACACTGATGTTACTATCATCGAGGAACTGAAGTTGTATGATAAAGGTCCATTTGGGAACAGTTGGTTGATGCTTTGGCCTGCCTTGACTTTTGATTCATATTCTTATCGATGAATTTTTCTGTATAACCGTTCTGACTCAGTAAACATGCAATAATATTAATCTCCTCATTAAGACATTCATCAGAGTAGATTACTTTTGCTCTCTGGCGAAACAAGCACTTTATCAGACTGCGTTTGAACTTCAAAGGTAGGAAGCTGAAATAATGAGTATACTGACAGTCAGTTGATGTAAATGTTCTAATAACACTTCTTCTTCGTCTGATTGTACCGTCCTCTTTTATAGTCATAAGGACGTCTACGGAGTGAATTGCTAGAGACTTTTGTTTTCTTGATACTAATATTTTTTGCATGATGAACATGGTTAAATTTGTCACTGGGTTTTCTTTGCTTCATCCTCATGTTTCATAATCAAAACTGGATCCTCAATACCCCCAGTTCAAGTAAAATAATTTTTAAGTCGTTACTGATTCATATCAGTTATGATGTTTGTACCTTCAATCGATCATGTATGCTTTCTGTTGATTTTTGAAGGGAGCCTCTGCACAATAATTATCCCTGATTGGATGAAATAGACTTCTTCCCGATTTCACTTCTGCGTTATTTCTTCAAATTCCTCTTCCAAATGTCACTTACAGAACCACTGAAAACGACAGGTAGGTGCGTAGTGCTGCGGTTGTTTGTACGTTTGGCACTCTTCGACAGTACTCATCCACAAGGGTTTTAACCCAGAATGTAAATGTCACACGTGAAGCTTGTTGACCATTCACTCACTGGCACACCAGGTAATGGTGTGATCACCAGCCAGCTGTCACGTACTCTCTGGTTTTCCAGTGATTTCTAGGTGATAAGAAACATAATGATACATAGATATAATTTCCTACATGTCCGTCCTACATGTCTGTTTGTATTTCCCTACAACCCTCAACGAAAAGAACTAATGGTATTCTGTCTCACACTACATATTGCCTTTGAAATCCTATTGGCTGTTCACCATCCTAATTCAAGAATGACATGAGTGCTTATCAAGGTCATTTGAAACATATTTATATGTATGCAAGCACTGTCAACCTTTTGTTAAACTGTTGTCTTGAGACAGTGAAAGCTCTCTTATCAACTTTTAGTCTTCTCTTCTGTCACTGCGGCCCGGTGGTGTTATTGTTGTTATTATTGACGTGCAATCAGCACAGATAACACAGGTCATTTAGTTTGCATTTGCTAATGGTCTACTAGGTTGCAGTCGCAGTCATCACACATAGTAAAAACTTCGTGTTAATTCTCATCGCGTTGATTCGCATCACCTTTATGTGACCCGTCTAATTAGGCATTTAAACATTCACCCAAAAACCATTTTTTC